GCCCGCCCGCCCGACCGCTCACGTGATAACATAATACGTCCCCGTCTTCGACTGGCGTATAAAAACAGTACTGTATTTGACTGAAAATCATTATACCTTGTTCATCCAATTTTCATTATTTTGTATTAATTATAAACGGATAACTAATGCTTTAAAAATAATACACCAAAATCGTCCCTGAAGAGACATACCAAAGGGTATGATCTCCGCCTTTATGAAGGTTGACACTTATGCCAATGTAAAAAAGTGGTAACAGGTCAATGCCATATCACTTAAGAACCTTTCCTGCATATTGTCAAAGTCAGGAACATTTGGACTACCAGATATCCCCATGAATTTTCTAAACTTTTGATGTTATAAACAAAATGTTCAAAGGATTTTACAATATTTCTTTTGTTGCATTTTCCCATCAATTCTTATATATCTAAAGAAACAAAAATCTACAGGTATTTTGAAAATATCAACCGAGGTAACATCCAAGGAAAATGGAAGGAAAATATTTTTCTTCTGATGATGACTAAAGAGACTTACCCGGATATCTGCTACACAGGACTCAACAGTGGCGGTGAAATCCACGCCTGGGATGGACATACAGGCTGCTCCAGACACGGAAGCTGATATGAACTGTGTACAATTCCCGTATGCCATTTCATAGGTAATACCACTTGGAGTAGGGAAATCATTATCCTGAAATTATCAAGTAAATGATTTTCTTAGTTTGTGATTTCAGCTGGAAACCTGTATAATTTGATTTTCTAAGTTGAACCCTGTATGATATAAAATCCTGTCTTTTAATCTAAACTCTGTATAATTTGTAAACCTGTGTATCAGATACTGTCTAAACTGAACCCTGTACAATCTGTAAACCGGTGTATCAGACACTGTCTAAACTGAACCCTGTACAGTCTGTAAACCTGTGTATCAGATACTGTCTAAACTGAACCCTGTACAATCTGTAAACCTGTGTATCAGATATTGTCTAAACTGAACCCTGTACAATCTGTAAACCTGTGTATCAGACACTGTCTAAACTGAACCCTATACAATCTGTAAACCTGTGTATCAGACACTGTCTAAACTGAACCCTGTACAATCTGTAAACCTGTTTTTCAGACACTGTCTCATCTAAACCCTGCACAATATGTAAATCTGTGTATCAAACCCTGTCTATATTAAACCCTGTATAATCTGTAAACCTGTGTTTCTGACACTGTCTAAACAGAACCCTTTATAATATGTAAACATGTGTATCAAACCCTGTCTATATTAAACCTTGTATTATCTGTAAACCTTTTTTAGACACTGTCTAAACTAAACCCTGTATAATCTGTAAACCTGTATATCAGACACTGTCTCATCTAAACCCTGTATAATCTGTAAACATGTGTATCAAACTCTGTCTATATTAAACCCTGTATAATCTGTAAACCCATGTTTCAGACACTGTCTCATCTAAACCCTGTACAATCTGTAAACATGTGTATCACATACTGTCTCATCTAAACCCTGTATAATTTGTAAACCTGTGTTTCAGACACTGTCTAAACAGAACACTTTATAATCTGTAAACATGTGTATCAAACCCTGTCTATATTAAACCTTGTATTATCTGTAAACATGTGTTTCAGACACTGTCTAATCTAAACCCTGTACAATCTGTTAACCTGTGCATCAGATACTATCTTAAATGAACCCTGTATAATATGTAAACTGTGTATCAGACACTGTCTAAACTGAACCCTGTGCAATCTGTAAACCTGTTTTTCAGACACTGTCTCATCTAAAATCTGTATAATCTGTAAACCTTTGTATCAGACACTGACTAAAATGAAACCTGTTTAATCTGTAAACCTGTTCACACCAAACCCACAGCTATTTCATAATTTTATCTAAATTAAAGTTTGGTGAACCAGCATATTTTCAACTGAAATACTGGCCCAGTTACATTTTGCTGTAGATAGGTTTTACAACTATTATACTGGAATGAGGAGTATATTGATATTGATTAACCCAATTTTTATAATATTACCATTTAAAAAAGTAATTAAATTTGGTTGCTGCTATGAGGGGCTAAAATTCAAAGTTAATCCTATTGAGTGAGCACTTTATTGTGATCACATTTACATTCTTAATCTTTTACAGAAAATCTTAAAGATCTGTAACAGAAGTTTTTTTTGTACAGGACTGAGTAGGATGTATTTTTAAAGTTTCATCCAGAATAACTTTGATTAGACGCTGCAAGATCTGAAAATGAATGACTTACCACAGCGATGTAAAATAGATCAATCTCAAAGATGATTTGTGTGACACTGGAGATACATTTCAGGGGTTGGAGACTCTCCACTATCAACTCAGCAGTGATGTCCAGCACTGAAACAACGTCACAATACTGAGACCGTCTGTGTGTTTAGGAACAGGAAGCATATGCTACCTTATCATACAGTATAGATGTGATGCTTGAAAATATCAACAACACGGAACAACAAAAATCAGTGATAAATAAATATTCTTTGAGTACATCCACGAAATTACACATGGTAATTAATTTAATCAAATATTGATTAAGTGAAACGCAGTAAACAAAATTCACTTAAGTGTGTACACTAATTATAGCCTACCTGTAGTGTAATGGATTTTGCAGCTTTTAAAAATCAAGTGGTTTTTTTTACATCTAGTGCACTTTTGTAGTGCACTAATATTTACATTTCCACTGCACAGAGCCTAGATGTTTTTACTGGGCCAAATGTCTGTTATTTCCGTATAACGTACATTGGGCCATTGTGACGTCGCTACGCTTATGACGTCATAACTGTAACGTTGGAGATTGCGCTGCTCCACTGTCAACTGGCGGCTGTTCTCTGTATGGATTTATCCTGACGTTGAAACGTGTTCAGACTAATATTATGTCTTTATTTCTGCGTGAACTGTAAGTTGATTAAAAGTGTGCACCATTCAATATGTAGGTAAGCCAATGTATGTTACACACCAATGCATGTCAAAAATATGACAACCAATCCTTAAATAACAGCTATAGTCATTTAAGGACGTGTCAGGTTTTGATGGTGGAGGAGAGCTGGTGTACCCGGGGAGAACCCCCCTGACCTATGGTCAGTACCTGACACTGCCTGCCGTAGGCCTTGAATCCGCGACCCAGTGTTTGAGGGCTAGTGGTTGTAGACAGTCAGACGCCTAAACCACTCGACCACCGCAGCCCCCCTTAATAATGCACTACAGATTACAATAACATACGTTCAGGAGAAGATCAAAGCCTGATATTGACATACCTCGTTTGTTTTTCCTGTTGCGGACGATTCCACAGTTGATGACGTCGTTGCCCATGCCACACTGTGGTTCCTCGTTATAAAAGCAGTCACATGAGTACCCACCATTACTTAAAATTGAACTCTGGAATTCCAGCGTGGTGTCTCCACAGTAACCATTGTACAAAGTTTCACTGGCATTCACTCTGGTGGAGAAAAAATTGTAAATATTCATAAAAATCATGCAAGTTTCCATTTTTAATTTCTCAATTGTCAGATAAAAAATATGCTCTTTTTTTGTGTAAATAAAATTTACAATCTCTTGAAACCCTGTTAAGAACTCTATCAGCATCCCTAATATGGTCCAGAGGACGGAAAGAATAAGAAATTTGAACTTTGACCTCGTCTTGCGACCTTGTCCTTGAGGTAGGGTTGTAGAAAATATTCAACCTTTCCCTCTACACCGATTTCCACAGATGGACCAATGTAAAACGGAGATTTTTTTTACATTGTTTTCATTAAAAACATTATTTTCATTAGTATATATAATTTTAACATTATCTCATTAGTACATTCTTTTTACATTATTTTCATAAGCATATTATTTTCATAAGGTTGAAACACAAAACTACTTCTCAAAAAAACTTAACTTAAAGTAACTGTAAAAGTTGCAAATTAAAATTGACTTCCGTGATTTTAATAAACTCATGAGAAACATATTTAACAATGAACAATCATCAAATACAACGATTGTGTTGCTTGAAATGCTTTCTGAACTAACCTCCAAGTGATAGAGAAAGTATCAGGTTTCTTTTTGTATTCAATAATGGTTCCATTTGGTGTCATCAAATCATTGTCAGAATCGCCATCAAAGTTTCCACACAAACCTGAAGCAGATATGAATGCATTAACGAAGTGAGGGACGTTTAAAACCTTTCTTATTTGTTGTAAAAAGGCACTCTTCTTCACAGCAATTCTCCAAACACATTTTCAACCACAATATCTCTCAGACAGAAATTATATATGCCCTCCTTAAAATATAATAGCTTCACGATAATAGTGAATACATGAAAATTAGAGAATTTCCTTTCTCACTTGCTGGGGTACGCTTTATGGGGATAATGAACAAAACTTTATTTCTTTGTAAATTTCTCTTCAATATGTTATTACTAATAAACTACTTTTTTTTTCCAACTTTTTTGGCCCCCCCCCCCCAGACGTGTCCTAAAATACAGAAAGAACAAAATTGTATTCATTGGTTTTCAATTTCAGCGAAACAATGAGTTCTATTAGGAAGTCAACAAATATTTCAATTTACCTTCAACATTTTCAATGTCGCTTGGGGCTGCTTTCATCCATACATTCAGGAATTTACCCTTTTTCTTTACAGTCACATAAGCACCATTAGGAAGATAGATCTGATGGTAACAGAAAAATATTGTTAGTTCATGTGACTTTTTCATATAACATACCTTCTACTGCATCTTTCTCAGTAAAGCACTTTCTGGTGATTCCTCAATAACTATTAAGGATCCCCGCCTCACTGAACTGTGGTTTGTAGTGTATAGAGTTATCTCCCCTTAATTTCCTTTTTGATATACAGTAAAACCTCGTTATTCCGCCATCTTCTGTCCTCTGTGATTTTGGCAGTATAACGAGTTTGGCGGTATATCGGATTTGCAGTTTCAAACCCAAGTGTTTACACACCAACTAACATATACTTTAAAAGAATAATAATTTAGGTCAGAATGGGTTTTTTTCTTCAAAGATGTAATTTAATGTATCAAATTGTTGAGCGTGCAAAAGATACAGCTGGTTACCTGGTTAGTCGCCAGTCACATGGAACAATACAATGTACACACATACGTAACATTCCTGTCGTCGGGATATACCTGTACTCGACTCCAATTGGCGATATTTAACGAGGTCAAATTGGTGTGCTTTTAACCATTTGGTTTGGAAGTATGATGGCAAAGGTTAAGTCATGCTTGAGAAAACAGTCTCTAATGCGTAGCTACAGTTTTTGACAGTGCTTCAGGGATCCTTAACTCATTCGCCCCTGAAGACTCATTTGATCTCCATTTCAAAGGTTTGAATAGTTTATTGTTAAATTTCAGGGGTGAGCGAGTTAAACAGTTCCATAAGCAATATCTCAATTCACTATCTTGGCCTGGTTGACTCAGGAAAGCACAAATCATAATCTCATAAACAAGAGGCCCCAGGGTTCAGTATTACTTACTTGCTATGGAAAGCTATTTTCTGATGTTCTTATCAATCAATAATGTTTTATAACAAATCAAGTTAAAACACAAGCCATTTGGATTGATATGTCTCACCTGTGCCCCGCTTTGACCATCAATTTACATATAAGAGAAGCTAACTTAAATGCAAAAACTTGATGTTGGTGGAGATGCTGACAAAGTCAATGGACCATGAAAGGTAGGCCGCATCCAGCATTTGATGCATGGGTTGAGATGTACTTCCTCAGATGCATCTATGGTGCAAGTTTGGTTGGTTGAGCACTTATACTTTCTGTGAAACTATCTTAAACACAAAAACTTGATGTTGATGCCCTCGCTGGAAAAGCAACACCTTATTCTCGCTTCTGCTACATCGTCACGGTGTAACAAAACCAGCCATTCTTGAGGATAAACATAAAATCTATTGACCCCGAACGTCCCATTTCATCACTCAAAGACCATGAATTGGACAGTTTTATTGTAATATCCCAGGAGTGAATGGGTTTATATTTACCTGCCAAGCTGCCCCTCTGTATTTCATTCATATCACTTTTTATTCAATTTGCCCTGTGAAGATTTAACTAAATAATAATAATGATAATAATAATTCAAGCTTCTTATATACCACTTTATCACAACCTATTCGTAGGTCGTCTCAATGTGGTTCACAAATTATTATCTGTGGTTATAGGAACTTTGCAACCAGCCAATATCGTTCTCAACTCCCTGGGGAGCATACATCCAGTGCTGCCATTTAGGCACTCACAGCTAGCATTCAACAATTCTAGCACTGCCCAACCACATACTCATTCACTGCTGAGTAGATTGGAACAAGCAGAGTAAAATATCTTGTTCAAAGATACAACACAGTGTCTTGACATAATATAACTCAAACCGCAACCCTTCAGTCATGAGTCTGCGTCCAACCACTAGACTTCCGTGCCTCGATCTTTACATTATAATCCATTTATCTGTATTTGAGGAGTAGACTTTTAAATGCTAGCCGATTCCCATTTTCTCTATAATGTTCTACCTCATTGCCAACTGGGAAGCTGCACCATTCATGAGTCAGATACAAGTATTTATCAATTATAAACTTTTGTTTAGGTTAATACGAGATTGATTATAAACCTGAAAAAGAGATATTGACCTAGATAAACCTGCGGTCAACATCACCTGTCAGTAACCTATAACCACGTATTCATTGAAATATGAAGTCCTTAATTGTTAAATCATATATCAATGATGCTGTATCTTATAATTTAACAAGATGGAACATAAGAAAATCAAGAGAAAAACATTGCATTTTGCAGAATTAGCAATGGACAGGATGATTCTTTAACTCACATGTTTTTTTGACAATACAATTTTCCATTGAATTAATATTCCTAAAATATTTGTAATCACAAAAAAGTCTCCTTGCTAATTAACATGAAAATTAATTCCTTGTGAAAATATAGTAGCTTACAGTAACCAGAAGATGCTCAACGATACTTACATTATATGTTGCTCCGCTGTTCTTCTGAAAGACGTAAGTTCCAGGGGTCAACTCTCCATTTAAGTATATCTTTTTGGTCAATGGCTGGACACTGTCGGTCTTTGTGGGGCCGCAGACATCAATTACGATGACGTCATCACCTGACCGTACGGCCACAGCACAATTACACGAGGCATGTCCGTTACAACTCCGATAGAATGTGTGCACCTGAATAATTTTAAAGGTGCATGAAATAGATAATACAGTCCAGAGAGCACCTGTCTTAAGAGACAACCTCCTTTAACTGACCCCACATCTTCAAGTTCCACAATACTGACTCAGAAATGTTACAACCTGGACATGGGCAATGGAAATATACAGTTGAACATTTCTAAATGATACCCAATGGGACACAGCATACATATTAGGGTCGTATTGAACAAGATGTCAGACCACACAGGTCTTATTTGTTAGTTTTCTTTAGGAACAGGAGTACATCAAAAATTTTAATAGGCAAGACATCCCAATATTCGGGAGGGGAAAAAAGAAAGGGCTGAGCTAAGGGAGGGAGTAACAGGAAAGGGCAGAGCTAGGGGAGGGAGAAACAGGAAAGGGCTGAGCTAAGGGAAGGATTTAAGAAACATAAACCGGAATAGGTGAAGATGAATTTAAGATTGATTATCATGAGTTTGGGTCCAAAGTGGAGGTCATGGAGGACAGAATGAAGAGAGGGAAGGGAACTTCTAAAATTCAATGTTCCTTACTGCATAGGGTAGCCGCTTGTGTCTGTACAGTACAAACTCTCCTTCATAGAAGTTGTCATATTTTCTGAAAGAAAAACAAATCATTAACTGTTTATTAAAAATGATTGCATTTTTAATACAAAAATCTATTTTTCCAATTTGCTTTTACGACAGGTTGTTATACACAAATAAGTAAACAAATGTTAAAAGTTGGGTAATTTGAGTGAAAACTAGTATATAAGGATAAAGTTACCTCCAGGGGTGTACAATTTCACATTTTAACATTTAGCCCAAAGGTGAATTTCTGAATAGAGGTGTCACAATATATGCTGTTTCAGCCTAAGTTTCAGAGTAAAACTCACTTTGATTGGTCAGTCTCTGCACTTACAACAAATCAGCAATAAGGTTATGATTTTCAAGAAAGGTATGGCAGACGGTCTTTTACCCAATGCTTTGGCACATTTTAAATCAAAAGTGTGAACATTATTTTAGTTCCTTGTATCAATACTGTTAATATAAACCAGCAAAACGAAAATGAAATGAAAGACAGGAAATATTCGACACACAAAGGCAAGTGGACTAATATTGGTGATCCAAACCTTATTAAACCTAACGTAGAAACCCTGGATCTTCATTTTATTTGTAGTGTATACAAAGTTATCCAATCATGGCACTATATCTCTCGATGCATATTAGTTTTTCCCAATAAAGAGTAGTCTAACTTACACGTCATCGAACGTAGTCATGTGAGGATCATTTATAGATTTACAAGTGGCTGATTTGTCGCGGTCTTCTATAGTAAGTTTTATACGATCTGTGATGTAACGGGCAGGTAAGCTTGAAGCACTTTCCACTCTAATTTCCACCTGAATGGACTTTTTCTGGTCACCGTCATTGATTCCATCAATTTTAGCAAGGATGGGGATGTTGATATCTTGTTGCCAGGTAACAGTACTGGTAGCCATGGCACCACAAATGGTCATGCGACCAGTTGCATTATCTAATGCTGTGGGAAAGACTGCCTGGGCTATCTGTGCGCCGCCTGGACATCTTTTTTCCTTATGGGGCCGCAACGATGTCCAAACAGACACGTTACAGTTGCCGGATCGGTCTGCAATTTTGCATAGCAGTCGAGGAGGCACCATGCTTCTGAATGTAAGATTTTTTGAGCTGCCTCCTTCGGAAATACTCAATTCTTCTGTGACAGTCTACAAAAAAATTGACAATTTTATGGTAAAAGTATAAAGCCAGTTTATGAACAAGAGGCCTAATGGGCCGGCATTTTCCGCCCGTTATTCAATGCTTTATGAACACCTCACCTCACACCTCACATCTTTTACAATCAAACTCATTGCTTTAAACTTTACGGATTTAAAGACATTTAGAAGTTGTTTCACACATTTACACCGGTGACAACATAAAGTGGGTCAAGGTAAGATATTCAGATAAACTTGATAGCCTTTCACTGCAACAACATACAGGACAAATCTTATCACTCTAGCCCTCATGTATCTGGAAGTCAGTTCAAATATTTAACATATTTGACTCCTGTGACCTTGAAAGTGAGTCAATGTCATTCATTTGAATAAAGTTAATAGCTTTTCATCCCGGCACTACAGGCCAAATATCATGACCCTATACCTCTTTATTACTCGAATAAGTTGTTTAAGTTTTTAAAAATTTGGCCCAGGTGATGTTGAATGTATAGAATCAACTTTTGTTCATTTCTTAATAAATTTAAAAATCACTTTTAAACTTTAACCTTGAGTTCTGTTGAACAGCCATATTAAGTTAAGCCATATTCTAATGGCAATGTCATGCGGCATTGAAGGCTGAAAATACTTTGTGACAACTGGACAAATAACTGAAAGTTTACCCTCCTGACACACATGTACAGTTAAACTTTGTTATACTGCCACCATTTGTCCAGGGAAATAATGGCATTATAAAGGGATTTGGCAATAAACTGAGGGAAATATATAAAGGAATTCTTCAGAAAACGAGAAAAAAGACATTGAAATACGTAATGTTGGCAGGTAAACAAGGTGCCAAATGAAACGTGGGGCATAATATGGAGGTTTTACTGAAATACAAACGTTATCAATATAATTGTATAACATGTAATAAATACAACTGTATTACAAATATTATAACTCACCTGAATGGCGTTATAGATAGTATTGCTGTAACTGGGATCTCCTTTCGTGATGCCACAGTTGCTCGAAAAACAGGCCGACACTTTACAGTATAGCTGTAACGAAAGCAATATCAAATGACATTAAATGTAAATTATCATATAATTTAATCTTGCTTGTAACAAGCATTTCCATTGGCTTAAAAATTTATGCTATCATCCCATAACGTAAAAAAATGACGTCACCATTTGTAACGTCGCTTTTGATTGGTTGATACAGCAGCGCAATAATTTCTAAGAGAAAAGAGTCCATCAATAAAAGTGGATCTTCACAGGGATTGTGTATAGTAGATTAAATTATAAGGATTAACTTGAATATATTTTTCATGTTATGGAGCTATAACACAAAAACGAAGTGTACTCTCATCATAAACCACTTTGCGGTTTATTTTGAGTACACTCCGTTTTTCTGTGTTATATCTCCATAACATGAAAAACATATTCAAGTTAATCCCTAAATAATTAGACTAATTATTTTAGCATTTGGAATATGATTCATCAGTTTGCAATGAATAATAAAGGCTAAGTTTGTTTTGAACACAAACAGGAATTGAAAAAATATTTTTGCAAGCTTTCAAATGACCATCGTCTTGACTCTAAACCACTGAAAACAACTCACTAAGCCACAGTATGCTGAATCAGTAAAGTCAGCTGCCAACAATCTGCATGATATAAATACTCTCTGGATGAACCACTACAATCTTTACTTACACAAAGCACTGTGCCAAAAGGAGGCTCTCTTACCTGTATGTTACCTGTGACCTTGACCTTAAAATCTTCATACGAGTCAAACAAGCAGACTCCATATTAACCTGTGACCATCATCATTATAAACTATCTCATATGATGACTCTACATACTACCTTGTGACCTTGACCTTATATTACTCACCTCTGTGCCGTGTGCAGTCTTTCAATAATCGTCTGAGACCTTGACCTTTTATTACTTACCCTTTGCCGTATGGACACTCTCCATACTTGTTTGTGAACTTGACCTGATGTAACTCACCCCTGTGCCATAGGAAGGCTCTCCATACATATCCTCCGAAAGCGTTGTATTGTAGTCATCTCTTGTGAGGTTCTGATTGGCCATTTTCGTATCTCCTAGATACCACTCCACCTCATACTTGACGTCTGCCCGTAACTGTTGGAAACGACAGGTAAACATTGCCTTACCCGAGTCCTCGTCCATGTCAACAGTAAGAGTTGGAGCGACAGAGAAGTTTGGTAAACCTGCAAGTTACAGATCACAAATCATACATTACTCTACCGACTCTCAGAAATATTATTCAATAAAAAAACTTCACTGTAATATTTGTATACACTACTTAGTTCCTTAAACCTTTCACCCCTATGTAACTTCAGTAGACTCTACCATCCTATGATGTGGATGAGTCCATTATTGTCTACAGTGGTTAAAGGGTTAAAGCACTGCCAAACAAATAGAAACAATGCATCATATACAATTCTAATCCTCTTGCATGTGGCAACATTTGGAATCGAACCAGAAGGAAAAATTCAAATGATATATGGAAAGTTGCAACTTCATCCTCTGATGGATAAAAGTTTCTCATTTCGAAGTTTGCAGTCCAATTTCATAAAAAAATGTACACAAACTTTGTTATGTGACTACATCCATTAAGAGACCACCTTTAAATCAGAGACCACTTTTAATTCCCAATTAAAGTGATTTCATTGTCACTTGAATCTGTATTAAGAGACCACCTGCATTAACCCTTTCACCACTGTAGACCAAATGGACTCATCCAGATCAATGCATGGTAGAGTCTGCTAAAGTTACATAGGGTTGAAAGGGTTAAGAGATAACATGTATAAAGAAACCACCTGCATTAAGAGACCATGCAGCTTGAACATGAGAAAGGTTCCAGGAAAACGGGCTCCGATGTTTGAACATTTCTATAGACATTCTCAGAATGGTACTCAGAATTCATAGTACTCACCTATGACAAAGCCCAGGTAGATTAAAACCTCCCTGGAAGCCAGAAGGATATTCCAGTACTCTAACTCCATTTCTGTGAATGTTCCGGTTGAGTGTGGTGCTCCAACATAAAGATTACATTCCACGGGATTGGGAACATCCCTATACAGGAAGTCTGTGGTACTGGCCCTTTTCTCATAATCCACGTACATGTGAAGTCCAAATTGCTTGCTCCAAGACACATCAAAATTGTAGAGAGTGTTGACGCTGACGATCGCGGTTGAAACGGTCCATTCCTTTTTGTGGGTACTCACAGTGAAGTACACATGCCCATTACGATAAAACATGGCATAGCCAGTAGAATCGGCCTGATCACCACAGTTTGTGTAGATATACATGTTGTCCTTCAGAGATCTAAACCGCAGGGATAAACTGATTGTGATTCCTAGTGAACACTGATCTGGGTGTATTAAACAATCACCAACAGAAGGACGAAGGTTGAAATACTGGTCTATTCCGTTGAATTCTACTGCATTCCTGCCATTTTCATTTTGATTCAACACCAAGCCTCCTTCCAAAGGAATTGATCCTGCATTCGTTATTAAATTTGTTTGTTCCGTGTAAAGGAAGACAAGGTTGTACCAGTAAATCTCTGTAACTGGAAACAAAAAGAAAACGGTGAAAACAGGCTTATCTTTCAGTTACAGATATCCACAGAGAAGAAATAACACACTTTTAAATGCTGTTAATAGGAGAGAGAAAATGCACGACCAGACCAGGGTTCGAACCAGGGACCCTCCGAACGCAAATGTGGATGGCTGGCGGGAAAAACAGACAGTCAGACACCTGGGACTAATGATACCGTTTGATGCAGGGCCTTAATGAGATACTTCACTTAATTCATACTTCTACAGAAAAAAGACCATCACTAAAAAATGTGTTAACAGTAAATACACAAATATTTCAGCTGAAAACAAGAACTACATCTCCTGGTCACTAAAGGATAAGACCGTGTCTCGAGGCTAGGATACTTACCACTGACCACTGTCCAAACAGAAGTGGACACTTCCACTCTGCATCCTATCGAGGGATCTTTTGGGTTTACGAACCAGTTCTCATAGCACACGCCACCAATTACACACACATCAGTCTGAAGAGAAATAAAAACAAGCCACTCTTAACCAAATAAATGAAGGATATTTACTGACTGACCATTAACTCATTCACCCCTGAAGACACATTTGAACCCCTCCAATTCAAAGGTTGGAATAGTTCATTATACAATTTCAGGGGTGAATGAGTAAAATACCTCATCATATACATTTTATTTCAGTGAGTGTTTAACTTATCATAAATATATACCATCGTATTGCATTTCAAAACACTATCACATAATTTTTGGTCATATACTGTGTTTTTTTCTATTCATAGTACATTTTCACTTAATATAACATCCCTTAATGAAACTTTTAGGTTATTATAATGTTTTTTTGATGCACCGTTTTTCTTGATGTAAGATCACTATAGTTTTGATGTGGATTTCACTTAATATCACTATATTTTGGGTACTGTCACAAAAATATCATACAATCATAAGGCACTACTGGAATTCAGCATGTGTTTTTAAGCTGCATATTTCAATGAAATAAACAACCAAAAGACAATTATTTCACTGTTTACAAATATCTTAAAATTGCATAATATTCATCGTAAAACCATATCACTTTGACATTTAAATGTGGTCACTTCCGGGTTTTGACAGCTGAATTTCAGAAAAAAAAATGCTATCTCTTTATGTCATGTTTTGGTTATAATCATGTTTTTCACTGACAAATGAGAAGTGATATTAAGAGAAATCTACTGTACTGTACTAAGCATTTTTTTTAAATAGTTCAACTTGGACTATAAAGCAGGGAGTTATATTAGTGTAACACTCGAACTTTTGCTGATAAAGTACACAAATATAATTTATCATTACAGTATTTAGGGGAAGTAGTATGGACAATTTTATTTTCTATTGTTTGGTAGAGGGGCATAACTCAACCTGTTTCTAGTATACCCCTTGGTATAAATACCCTTTGTAAAATATGGTTTAGTGATTTATCAGTGACAAACTTTTTTGAATAAGAGGTAAATATCACAGTATAGTAGCATGCATCCTCAAGTTCAGGAAATCTGACCCTATAGTTGGACCACAAAAATCTGTCGTTTTTGTCCTCCGACAGATTAGCAATAATGACCTTGACCGGAAATGGTGGATACATGCATTGCGATGATTCAGTGTAAGATTCTACAAGATTGGATGGCGCAAAGGATGGCTCACTCGCCTTACACCAAGGCGGTTTTCTCCAGGTTTTCTGGTTTCCTCCCCCATTAACCCTTTCACCCCTATGTAACTTGAGTAGACTCTACCATGCATTGATCTGGGTGAGTCCATTATGGTCGACAGTGGTGAAAGGGTTAAGTTTTTTCCTACGAGACAAGTGTGCAACACTTACCCTTTGGACACATCCAGTACTCGTACAATTAAGACAAACTCCATCGTAAATGAAATAAACGTTTGCCTCACTCTGAATGATGCCGTTATTGCTGACTGAGACGTTATAAACGCCATCGGTTGGCAACAAACATTGCACAGTTTCAGAATTGAAATATTCTGCCAAAAATGATCCTTCACTTTCCACAATTGACAAGTTCACCTGAAAAAATAAAATAAAAAAACATACAACTGTTGTAAGATTTCAGCGATCTGTATACATACATACGATGATAGCAACATCTGGACACTCCTCAAAGGAATTTGCTCCTTTGAGCGGACTCTAGGAAAGAAAAGTACTGGTAAGGATTACAAGCAAAGCTGCTTTTAATCCATGTTTTTTTTTTTTTTTTTTTTTTTTTTTTTTTTTTACTTAGAATTTAATCCCCTCTATTAAGAATTTTCTTTTTCAGTTAGGGACAGAGCAAGAAAAAGTTTTAAGACCTTGTCTCTCCCAGGAATCATTTTACTTACAGATAAAGACTGGTAGTGGCAGGTCAAATTTTCAGTCTCTGCAAAAAAATCTCCGTAAATCGTCAGGGTTTTGCAGGACTTTGAAACGCGAGTATCACAGAAGAAACCGTACTTAAAGGAGTAAACGTCTGGGGCCATGTTAATGTTGACTTCACAGGAATCTCCGATCCAGCCAGCGTGACAGACGCACAAACCTGTTACAAAGTGAACAAGGGAATAAAACATTTACTGGTGACCTAATTACAGAATTTGCATCAAAGTATTAAATCTTCTTGACATACTGTGTTTGCAATATTTAGCATCCCAGAGTTAGATATTGCAGTTTAAAACACATGTGTTACATCAGTAGTTTAGATGACCCAGAACAGCATTAATCCTTGGGCCCAACTTTTCTGATTAGTGTGATCAAACACAACCTTTACTGGACACTGTTCTCATGTTATTTTTCATGCCACCTCTTTTAGGTGGTGGTAAAAAACGACACAAGATTTGCTGTTGTTGTTCGCACCCTGGAGTTAGACTCACTCTAAAATCCTGAAGTGAAATACGTTAAAAAAACTGGTGCTGTCATGTTGAATTTGTAGATTCATTTTATCAAAAATAAAAATATTTCAATATAAAAAGCTGTGAAAATGAAAATGTATACAGTATCTAAGATTGTAATGAAAAAGCATAGTTTAACAACTTATCCAACAAGAGGCCCAAGGGCCTTAGCGGTCACCTGAGTTATATCATAGGTACTGGTACCTTTATTTTATTGTTTAGATGTGATGTGGAAATCAGCATGTAAACTAAGTGAAATATAATACTTGTCATGTCATCAAAGGATAAGAATTTGAAAATATTGGTAAATGTTCCCTTTGGGGCCCCGCCCTAGCCCCTGGGGAGGGGGCAGGAATCCCAATTTTACAAAGTAATACTCTCATTCACCAAAGATGATTCTGACTAAGTTTGAGTAATTTTCTGCTGAAAATGGATAAAATATACCCAAAAGTGTTATTTCCCTATATAAACTATAGTAAACTTTACCCCCACCCCAAGGGGGAACGGATGGCTCGGGGGTCCTGAAATTGACAATTTAAATAAAACTCCTGATGATCTTTCTATCCATGCACTGAAATTGACTGTAGTACCTCTGAGTCTGGAGAAGACGGTTTTTGAAATATTGGTTAATTTTCCCTTTGGGGCCCTGCCCTGGCCCCAGGGGTTGGGGTAGGAATCCCAATTTTACAATTGTGTAGCCTCATCTACCAAGGATGATTCTGACCAAGTTTGAAAAAATTCCATCCATTGGTTCTTGAGAAGAAGTTGAAAATGTAAAAAGTTTACGCACGACGGGCGACGGACGGAAAGCGATTAGAATAGGTCACTAGAGCAAAGCTCAGGTGACCTAAAAATAGGATATTCCACATCAGGATTCTGGAACATGTCACTTTTTTCTCATTACCTTGGATGCAATTCCCGTTGTTGTTACATTCGTCAGGACAGATGGCGCCCGTGATTACAGGGTCAGGAACAGGCTCTCCGTCGACCCCGATTACCCATAGATCAACGTTCACCTCCACGATGACAAGACACTGAAGAAGCAGGTTATCCAGCTGTTCGCTGACCCAGCTTTGGTCATCTGTTATCTACAGAATAAGAGACAAGATTTGTAGAAATTTGTCTTACAAGGGAAATTTGGGAAATTTCTTGAGGTCACTAATGTATATCTATTTGTACAAAAAAAAAGCCAAATCGTCTGTGTATGTTACCTGAAGAGCCCCATGATGGGCGAAATTAGTTAAGAAATAATCAACATATGTGCGTGTATTATGGTGGAAAATAAAACGAGGGTGGAAATTGTTGGTAAAAATAATGAACGAAGGCCGTTTGTGGCTGTAGTTGATTATTTTTTTAACATTTCGAATCCCGAGTTATGTTTTCCACCAAAGTATACAAACATATGTTGATTATATGAATTCTACCAAGTAAAATACAATGAAACTCTTTTTGGAGTCTACCTCCGTGTCCATATACCTGTGAAAAACAAGGTGACCTAGATCATCTAACTATTTAAACTAGGCTGTTCATTCGGGCACGCGGACATTTGTCATGTGATGCCTATATGTCTTAATTTATTTCACAACAAGCTGCACGTTTTTATTATTTCCAACCTTGTGGACAATTATTCATTTTTGTCTATTTAACCTGGATATATTTGGGATTTTTTTTCTCCATTTTCAGTCACCATTTTGGTCAACAGACAATAAACAATTAACACTGACGTCATGCGGATGTTTATTTCAATCAATCAAATCCACCAATCTATTGACATTGCTCGTTAGTACATAAAATTGGCAGTTGATAGATTTACAAACACACTTTTAGTCACCTTTGCAATAAGTACGGCAGAACATTCTAATCGTGAGCTTGGCAGGTTAAAAGTAGATCTAGAGTGAAATAAAAACTTTTTTGTTTGCTGCTAGAAAATCTTCAAATACATACAAAATTAAATACGGGTACCAGAAACTAGTCCTGTGGCTTGCTTACTTACATTCGGGGGTCAGTTTTTGGACGAGCGGTAGTCTGTTGCAAAATGATGCATGCACGTGCATAGTCTATTGTCCAATAATACTTGGTTATTACTACTGAAAAGTGTCGTTACATCACAAACGTGGTAGAATTGGCAACAGACAGTTTGGAATCTTTTTGGTATTTTATACCGATGACACGTTAACTGTTAAAAATATTTTGATATATGTATATCTAAATATATACCTGAATATCTTCTATACATCCTTCTAATATGCCAAAAAGGTCAAGGTCAGGCACATTGAGACAGTTCCTTCCTGATTCCAACGCCAGCATAAACTGCATACATATATCAGTGGCGTTCTGCAGTGTAATGCCACTAGCCGTCGGCCAAGTTACAATCTAGAGAAACAATTAAGTCACCAATGTCAATGGATAAAATTGTAGTAGTTATTGATTTCTTATAAGCACCAATTATTAAGAATTAAAAGTAACTGCATGTAGAGAGAATTCCTCCTTAATTTTTAAAAGATCAGTTCCAATGCTAACACTGTTTATCCTAACTTAGAAACAATGAATATTGTTACACTAAAACCCCTAATATTGGGCCTTCTCTTTTCATACCAGTGTTGTAATACCCCCCTCCCCCCCACCCCCCCTCTCTCTCTACTTTAATTATGCCTTTTTTCAGATCAACATTTCTGCGTAACACCAAAACTGCTCCCCTTTAATTAGTATGCTTTCTCCTCTTCTATACAACACAGGAACAACCTGACAATTTAAGATATTTACATCTGCTCAAATGAACTCTGGAATTTCAGATAGTGTCACAAGTTATATATTACTATGCCTTCATATGTATAAAACTCATTTATTTTTTCTTGGCCTTTCATACCCGGGGTATGTAATTTATGTTGAACTCGAATTCCACAACAGCCTGGGATGAGAAACATTTGGCCACCGGTCTCTCGGCAGAGTTCACCAGAATGTCTGTAATGTCCTTTGTTCCTTCAAAGACAACAATGACCCAAATATCTTTTATATAACACCGCTGGTGGAAAAAGTCATCTATAAATGAGGTTGATATTTATAAATCTGTTAATGGAAGGTAAGAATTGTTGACATAATTAAGCCAATATATAACAAGGTCACAGCGACCTACTTAACACTTACGTCCTACTTTTTTCAGCCATTTTTTAATTTTTTTTTTTATAATTTTCAACTGAAGTGTTACACAATACATAAAAGTTATGAAGCAACTTTCAACAAATTAATTGTGGTTTTGTCAAAAAGAGACCATTTGTGATTTTGGTTCCCCACTTTCCCCCCACATATCTCAGAATGGTCTCCAAGCTGACCTTAATTTCATGTCATATCATAAAAGCATTACCCCAAGGTATGTAACATATATACAAAAAATAAAACATATTGATGATAGCCACCAGAAGGACCAAATTGGCACTCCTCCTTTGTGAATTCAACATAAATATACCATACAATATTTCAGCGTTCATTGGGCCTGCATATTAATCTGAATTTCCTGCAAAATCATACTGTAAACCTGAAAACGTTTGCCCAGTCAAATATTCTCCCTTTGCTGATTAAGTCCATCTTCGCCCAGTGTAAAGTGTAAATTTCCATCTTCGCCCAGAGTAAAGTGTAACTTTCCATCTTCGACCAGTGTAAAGTGTAATGTGATTTCCCTCTTCGCCCAGTGTAAATTGAAATGTAATTTCAATCTTTGCCCATTGTAAAGTGTAACTTTCCACCTTCGCCCAGTGTAAAGTATAAATTTCCATCTTCGCCAAGTATAAAGTGTAAATTTCCAGCTTTGCCCAGTGTAAAGTGTAATGTAAGTTCCATCTTTGCCCAGTGTTAAGTGTAAATTTCCATCTTCTCCCAGTGTTAAGTGTAAATTTCCATCTTCACCCAGTGTAAAGTGTACATTTCCATCTTCGCCCAGTGTAAAGTGTAACTTTCCATCTTCGCCCAGTGTAAAGTGTAATGTAATTTCCATCTTCGCCCAGTGTAAAGTGTAATGTAATTTCCATCTTTGCCCAGTGTAAAGTGTAACTTTCCATCTTCGCCCAGTGTAAAGTGTAAATTTCGCCCTCAACATGTAATTACTTTAATGTTATATTGTATGCTGTGTACTTATACTAACTGTCATGATAAATTTGCCCCTTTTACGGAGGACAGAAAAGGCAAAAGTTAAACTGTCGCAAAATTTCCCGGTGTTCAATACATGTGGCATTACACGCGTTCTTACCTTTCTTTTTCTTGTTGTTTTTCTTTCGCTTTTTGATTTCCTCACATTCCATGAGGTCAAGGCTTGGACTGCATTGACCCAACTGGCCTGTACTACAGTCGCAATAGGTGGTAATCTGCTGGGTAGAGGCCGCTGTCGGACAGTAACCGCTGTACAATGACTCACTCCGATCCACCCTGAAATTTGTTGTCATTTATATTAATTATCATTAAAATTCATCAAAACCTTATTTCTGAAGTCAGCGTTATTCCAGTTGTCTCATTCAAACGCACATATTGTGGTTCTGTAGTCGAGATATGGGTTATGTGACGTTAGGGAGATCGGGATATTTGAATCTTTTGTGTTTGGACTACAAAGATGGGTGTAGGTATTGTTTATGGCAATTATTACTGAAATGAAAGTCCCTGATGTTAATTTCTGTATTTATCCTGCAATACACCCAGGTGTCAACACATAATCAGACACTCAAAGAAGGGCTTTACCATTTCTTGGCACATCTGTTTAAGGATCCCTGTCCCACTGCCTTGTGGTTTCCCCTATATACGGCTACCTCCCCTTAACTTCCTTAAGGATCCCTGTCCCACTGTATTGTGATTTTCCTTCTATACGGCTACCTCCCCTTAACTTCCTTAAGGATCCCTGTCCCACTGCCTTGTGGTTTCCCCTATATATGGCTACCTCCCCTTAACTTCCTTAAGGATCCCTGTCCCACTGCCTTGTGGTTTTCCCTATATACGGCTACCTCCACTTAACTTTTTAATACTTAATTTTTACACTTAAGATTATATTTTGTTTATTTGATCTTTATTATTTCTAATGAAAGTCCTGCAAGGTATTGCTTTCTTTTCAGAAATGATTTGTCAAATCTACAGTCACACTGGATAAAAACAGTTTCCAACACTAAGCTACAGTTTTATGCAGTGGTATGGGGAGCCTTAATTGAAAAGATTCTGGGGGGGCTTACTGCCAGGTATGGGATTTTGCTGGATAAATATGGTAAAAGTGTTCTAATTATCTAATCCATCAACAATAGACCAGCTATTTCCTTAAGATAGATGAAGATGGCTTTATTACCATTCAAGCTCACCTGTACGTGGCATTTTTAGCAAAAACATCAGTTTAAAGAGAGTTATACAATTGCTGATTTGGAAAGAAAAGATGTAAGAAAATGACATCCAGTTATAATGACTAAAATTTGAACAGATTTCCTTTCCTTATGATTTATAGCAATTTACCACCTCAAGGCTATAAGCCACACTACAACTTTTATCTGTAAGAATTTATTTGTGATAGAGTTACCGGATTTATTCCACAATATGCACAGGGGCCAACAGATAACTCAGACTCAAAGTAGGGGGTGGGCTTATTACAGGACCATGCAAAAGCATTTACTTGCATATTGATTGAACTGTTTTAAAAAGGGTGGTCTTATTACCAGGCATGGGCTTATTGCAGGAAAAATACAGTATTCCCTTTTTTCAAAACACATTACCTAATAATTGAGAATTTCCTCCGTGTCATCAATGCGTGTATTCTGTGTGTCTGGCAAAAATGTCAGCATGTAAAAAACTCTTAACCCAAATTTTTTATTTACAAAAGATATTGCCTTTACAGAAGAATGTGAACACTTTTGAGATGTGGATGCTCGTCATATTTTGAGTAGTGTGACGCATACATTGTATATGTATCCTAATTTAAGGCTGAAATACCTCCAGCTTAATGAAAACGTGTCCGGTAACTTCCCAGTCTCTCCAGACAGACCTCCGGTCCGTAGCCAGAGGTCGTTCTTGTCATCCCCATCAAACGTGCCACACAACCCTGGAATACAAGACACATGCTTGGGTAATATTTAAACTTGACATTTCCATTACTTCTGGAGCTTGTAACAGTACTGTAAACATTGGTATTTTTGGCACTTGAAATTTCAACTGAGTTTTGTTTTAAAATAGATTTGCCCTTTGCTGCATTAGCCTCCCATTTGTAAGTTTTTTGATGGACTTGTGTTGAATGAGCCCTCTCATTCAATAGCGAAAAAGGGTTGAAAAATAAAAAGGAAGTGAAAGTTTCCGATTTTGCATTTCAAACTTGTTCCCATTTCTTACAATTGTCTTTAACAAACTTCAGTGAGTTTGATAAAAGTCCAACAGAATGGATTTTTTTGTTTTTATTATATCATTTACACATTAGTGATTGTTTTCCCCTTCTCACTGAATTTCTGATGTCATAGACAGATCTTCTGTGCACTCTTATTGTTTGTTAAAAATATGTTGATCTGGACTAAAAAAAAACGGTTTGAAAATCAAGATTTACCTTCTGAGTTACCAAAGTCATACGCAGAAGCTCTCATTTTCACATTGAGAAAGGGAGTGGCTCTTCGTCTTCCTTTCATCACAAACACAACTGCTCCTGTTGGTAAGACGATCTGTGAAAAATATTAGTACAGATAAGTTTATTACATGAAGAGTCATGTCCTATAACATACACAAATAGAAAGCTATCGAAACGGTTAGAAAGTCCTCGGAACATTTACGACTTGAATGTGTCTGTTGAAAAGTATGTTCATTTTGTACAAGGTCAAAATACCCTCCCTAAGCATTGAGAAACTCCTGATCCATACCCTTGTTTATTATGTATCTAATAATTTCTCCCAACCCCATTGGCTGGATCGTATACACCTGACCTAGTCTCAAAAACCAATTTATACCTGGCCCCGAGATCATGAAACAATCTTAGACTTAAATAAATGTTTACTTAGCCAATCACGTATGACGTCACTTTTCATGACGTTAATTGTGATTGGCTAAGTCCAAACTGAAGTCAAATTTAGACTCGAGATCATTTCATGATCCTGGGGCCAGTTTTCTGCTGAATATAAATTTCTAAATATAGCTTTTTGGGATAACCCATGCACATTTACCATTGATATACAATTCTGTGAACAATTATTATTTTCGATGCTTTAATTTTCTTGCATGTTTTGCAGTCTTTTGACATCAAAAATACATTGTAATATAACTTCTTTTATGTAATTGTTTGTTGAAACACATATTACACAACAGGATGACCTCTGACCTTGTATTCTTTTCCTCCACCTTTTCGTATGACCCTTGTACCCTCCGTCAGTCCATCTCCGTTAATAAACATCTTGAGGGTGAGTGTTGTTTTTTTTCCTTCTGGGACTTCGCTTGGACCACAAGAGTCCAGAACTATGACATCATCATCCACCCGCACAGCCACAGCACAGTTACAGGATGCGTGGCCATTACAGTTACGATAAAACGTTCTCACCTAAACCATAATACAGCACAGTTACAGGATGTGTGGCCATTACAGCTACGATAAAACGTTCTCACCTAAACCATAATACAGCACAGTTACAGGACCATTACAGTTACGATTAAACGTTTTCACCTAAATCATAATACAGCACTGTTACAGGACCATTACAGTTAAGATAAAACGTTCTTACCTAAATCATAAAACAGCACTGTTACAGGACCGTTACAGTTAGATAAAACGTTCTCACCGAAGTCATAATATGTTATTAGTTTAGGACGCTAAGTCATTAAAAATATGATATAATACTCTCACTTAAGTAGTATTACAACACTGTTACAGGACGCTTGGCTGTTACAGGTACAAGAGAATGCTCCGACTTGAGTCATCAAATGGCATAGTTTGGGATGTGCAGTCATTAAAGTTACGATAGAATGCTTATAATACGGAACGCATGGGCCGTTACTACAATTTCGATCATATGACATCACACTAAATCAAAAGAAAATTGTCATACTGATTTCTTTTCTTCCATCAAGATCTGAATAAAGACCCCAAAAATTAGACAAAAAACTTTACAACTCAAAACAGAACAACCAATAACTGTGATTTATTTTAAATATTCTTAAAAATTTGATGCCATTTTTTGGTTTGCTTCTCCATGGGGAAATAAGTTTCTGGAAAAACTGATACCATTTTTTTTTTCTTCAATTTTATGATGAAAATATTTCCTCTGAGATGATATAAATTGTAAACACATGATCAGGTATATTGAATGAGATGTAGTGGAGTGCTCAAGATAATCTTAAGTTGACCAATAAGTCTGGTGTACATATAAGGACACAACTAAATACATATATGAACCCAATTAGATCAGTAGTATTAACTGTACATCAACATTTTTTTTTTTTTAAGGATCCCTGTACCATTGTAGGCAAAACTAAAATAATAATAATAATAATTCAAGTTCCTTATAAACCGCTTTATCACAACCTAGTTCGTAGGTCGTCTCAAAGCGGTTCACAGATTATTACCCGTGGTTATAGGGCCTTAATTTGTAACCAGCCAAAATCTTTCTCAACTCCCTAGGAAGCATACAGCCAGATCTAGAGCTGCCATTTCGGCGCTAACAGTTAGCATTCAACAATTCTAATGTTGCCCAATCACATACTCATTTACAGCTGAGTAGACTGGAACAAGCGGAGTAAAGTATCTTGCTCAAAGATACAACACAGTGCTGTGCCGTGACTCGAACCCGCAACCCTTCGGTCACGAGCCCGGCGTCCTACCACCGGCTACCGTGCCTCCTAAAACATTCCAGAGAAGTCTGATGCAACTTTTTATACATACATTTAACTCCCCTTAACTACACAACTGCAGCGCCACAGGGCCAGTGTGCTAACAATGACGAGGTAGCTCACTTGGTTAGAGTTACAGTATAATAGCCAGAGGTCCATGGTTTGAACCCTGGTCTTGCCCCGTTGCATTTTTACAATCAGAACACCATTGATGATTTATTTTGTTCATTTTTATTGTTGTTTCATAAAAATTCCACAAGCTAATGCTTTCATTTCAGAAATAGTTATCAATGCTTCAGTCATGCAAGAAGAAAACTTTCACCTGGGTGATACTGTTACAGTGTTTGGTAGTGGTACAGGATCCTTAGTAGGTTTTTTAACCATTGCGCTGGTCACATTTTTTTTTTGAAAAGTGAATTTAGCATTCAAAAAATAATATCTCGATCCCCACATAAATATATTATTTCACAGTAAGTGTATTAAAGAACAGCTGTTTTATAAATACCTCGTATGGTAGAGTTTTATGTCGGTACAAAATGAATTCTCCTTCGAAGAAATTGTTGTAGTATCTGCAAAAGGAGGTCAAGTCAATAAATTTAAGAAGAAAAATAAGGACCATGAGCTTTCAGGCATGTAAGTATGAATGTTGAGCTCTTGACATGTAGATGTAAACTCCAATGCTATGATTGTGAAATCTTTTATTTCCAAACCTATGATTGCCAATGTGATGATTTCCTATGATTACCAATGTGATGATTTCCTATGATTGCCAATGTGATGATTTCCTATGATTGCCAATGTGATGATTTCCTATGATTACCAATGTGATGATTTCCTATGATTGCCAATGTGATGATTTCCTATGATTGCCAATGTGATGATTTCCTATGATTACCAATGTTATGATTTCCTATGATTGCCAATGTGATGATTTCCTGATTGCCAATGTGATAATTTCCTATGATTACCAATGTGATGATTTCCTATGATTGCCAATGTGATGATTTCCTATGATTACCAATGTGATGACTTCCTATGATTGCCAATGGTATGATTACCAATGTGATGATTTCCTATGATTGCCAATGTGATGATTTCCTATGATTGCTAATGTGATGATTTCCTATGATTGCCAATGTTATGATTTCCTATGATTGCCAATGTGATGATTTCCTATGATTGCCAATGGGATGATTTCCTATGATTGCTAATGTGATGATATCCTATGATTGCCAATGTTATGATTTCCTATGACTGCCCATGGTATGATTGCCAATGTGATGTTTTCCTATGACTGCCAATGGTATGATTTCCTATGATTGGCAATGGTATGATTGCCAATGGGATGATTTCCTATGATCACCAATGTTATGATTTCCTATGATTGCCAAAGCTATGATTGCCAATGTGATGATTTCCTATGATTGCCAATGGTATGATTGCCAATGTGATGATTTCCTATGACTGCCAATGGTATGATTTCCTATGATTGCCAATGGTATGATTGCCAATGTGATGATTTCCTATGATTGCCAAAGCTATGATTGCCAATGTTATGATTTCCTATTATCGCCAATAGTATGATAAGGAATAAAGAAAAGGAAAACCCACCTTCCGTCGAATGTTGTTATATGCGGGTCGTTGATGGAAGAACACGTCGAAGTTTTATCTCGATCTACAGCTGTTACCTGTAACGTCAAGCCAACAAATATTGTCACCGAATACAATTTTACTGTCTGTTGTCAGATAGGTTCTCATTTGATGTTTTTTTAATCGAAAAGAGAAAAGGACAATCAGACAGATGCCGCCAAACTGGTCCGAATAATGTATGACCTGTGTTAAAGAGACCATCCATGAGAACACAATGGGGAAATTTAATTATGGTCTCTCAACATGGGAGGTCTCCTAACCCTTTCACCACTGTAAACCACAATGGACTCATACAGATAAATGAATGGTAGAGTCTACTAAAGTTACCTAGGGGTGAAAGGGTTAATAGAAGTGGTCCCATGAGCAGTTTTGATTATATCACAAAAACCGAAATTGAGTTCAAGGTTATTTGTTAAACTTTTGTGAGATAAATTTGAGCTCAGCTAGAAGCATTTTTAACCATTTTTCATGTGTTAAACCAATGTACAAAAATATAAATAACATGACCTGAAAAGTACTGTATTTATACTGTAAGTCACCGGATCAATCAGATATGTCATAAGAAGTTCTCAACGCGATAAGTCACATGCAAATCAGAATAAAAACTGAATTACAAATGCTGAAAACTATTGTTTCTAGCACAATATTAGAACGATGGGAGAAAAACAATCATCTTCTATATTTGGAGGGTAACAGAAATCTCCAGCCCTCAGGTAATGATATGGTTGTCTAATACTCTCTGTCACACACTCAAGGTAGAGGTTTTATTGACCCTTTCACCCCTATGTAACTTTAGTAGACTCTACCATGCATTGATCTGGATGAGTCCATTATGGTCTGCAGTGTTGAAAGGGTTAAGCACTTTTCTGCTTGTATATATCAAACAATGTCAGTTTGACTTATTACCTATATTGCATTAATAGAATCTCCCAACATCGGGGAATCTAAACTCAAGGGGAAAGATTCCTAATTTGCGAAACCTCGTCTTTGGCAACTTAAGAATCTTTCCCCGAGGGTTGAGATTCTAATTCTCACCCTCACGGGGGTTAATGATTCTGGCTCTCTTACCCTGTTCACTCAATGTCTATCATATACACGATGTAATGTTAACATCACAGGCTAAATTCAGGGTTGACATGATTTTGATGGATTGTTGACATGACGGCATTGTATTGTTGACGATATGTCATACCATTGTTATGAATAGGAGAATCCCCCCCCTCCCCCCCCCCAATCTCAACCCTAGGGTGAGACAAGGATTTCTACCACCCTTCACAGGTGTCTCCCGTTTTAGCCGGGAAAGATCAGCTTGTCATCCCCTAGGGGGGGTATAGCCTAGTGCCGATTAGCATGTGTTCAGTTGTGACGTCATTTCAACATGTAATTGGTAATTGTGACGTCATCAAAATTGAATGACGATAATCATACACCACCCATGTTTATGTTTACAAACAGACTACTGTCGGTGGAGTTGTGAATGAAATAATAGGATGGGTGAAAAATAATCATCACCTACCTTGAGGGTGTAACAGAGAATAAATATCCGACCCCACGGGGAGATTTTTTTGGTTGACAAACCCTCGGCATAGCCCTGGGTTAGACAACGAAAAAACATCACCCCTCTGGTTGGAGATTTCTCTGTCACACCCTCAGGGTAGGATAAGATTCTATTAATCTCACACTGGTAAAGAGTGGATACACCTGTCCAGGGTAAGAGAAAATACAGTCTTTTTTACCTATGAAACAACAAACCTACCTGCAGAGTAGATTGTGGAAAGCTGATGCTGTTGACATTTATACCCGAATTAATATGAAGGTGGAACAGGACTTCTCGTGTCTGGTCTCTGTCTTTGAGGTTGTCAATTGTGGCTTTGATTGGGATGTGCATACCGGTGAACCAGTTATCCTTGTCAAATATGTATTTACAAGCATCTTCGTAATCATTACTTTGTCCTTGATGGCCAAACACAACCTGTACAATTTCTTCTGTGGTTCCCGGGCATTTCCTCTCCTTGCCTCGTAACAATTCCACCGTGAAGTGCAAGCTACAGTATTTATCCCGGTCATCAGGAAGACAGAAGAGGCGAGGAGGAACAGCCAATGTCAAAACAGTGAACTCAGCCCCTGACCCTTCAGTTACTTCCAGTTCAAAGCTGCTTATCTGGATACGAATGAAGTTAAATGAATCATGAACGAGCTTTCATTGCTAACCTGTTATTCAATGCTTTTGGCAAAAACGTTTGACTCCGTTTTCTAAAACGTTGGTCAAGGTCAAAATATGTTTATAACCTGATGGCAAGTAAGGTTATGCTATAAGATATAAATATCTTTCAAGTCCGTTATTTTTTTCTTTGGAAGATTTCAACTTATTTTACTCAATACATGCAATCTTAATTTCAGGTAATTTATTTGAACAAAGTCAGCTTTTCAGAAGAACTGTTTCAAGGTTCCTTTACAGTACATGGTTCCCTTGGGGGGGGGGGCAGGCCCCCAGACCAATTCTGGTAGCATGGATGCATTTATTTCTTTAACCCCAGCAATTGCATATATGGTTATAAGGTGGGAAACTCAACCATTTCAAAGTTATAACCAGGGACTAAGTTTCCAAGGGTGGGGTCAGATCCTGGAGCCATCCAGGTAAGACATTGGTATTCATCTCTTTATACTCAGTAAATTTTGTAAAAGGTTTTAGAGTTTTTCAGATTGGCACAAAAAATAATAATTTCAGATGATAGAACTTGAAAATGCCTCATTCAATCGGAGGCTTGGTTAGCCATCTACAAATTTCAGATTTGCAAGAAAAATTAACAATTGCATGGTCAGGAAAGCATAAGGAATGTTTGAATCAAGTATGGAGTCAACCTCTGCAGTCAATTGGTAAATGAGTCAAAACGACTCAGCTAATCAAAAGGCAAGGTGGCCATCTTGGATTTTATGATCGAAAAGTAACAACACTTGGACAAGGCATCAAATATATGTTAGAAAACAGTTAAATAATATAATGATATAGTGATAAAGTAATATGTACCCCCTCCTCAGAGGGAGGGACAAATCTCCAGGAAAATAATGACCTTTGAGTACACATCTTAGCTGCCATCATATGAGGATCATTCAAACCAAGTTTGAACTATTTCCCTGGGAAAATAAACAAAACCTACCCAAACATGTTACTACTTACCTATATAAACTATAATTAACTAAACCCCAACCTGAGGGTATACCCAGCGACCTGGTGGTAATGAAATTCACAATTTTGATACAGCACCTTACGACGTTTCCATCCATGAAAGTGTACAATGTTTAGCATATTTATGTCTGATGAAGGTAATAGTTGAAATTTTAGCTAATTTGCCCGGCCCAGGTCAGACCACTGAGTGATTGGATCCATATAACTCACAAACTTTCCTTCAAATCTTAAGCGAAATCAGATCATTGGTTTGGAGAAGTCAAAATTGTCAGTTACGATCTAACAGATGACAGATCACACTTGACGACTGAAAAAAGGTATTCACATTAATTAACCGAGTCTTTGTCACAGGTAACAAGAGTTCCCAGAGGGGCCTTAAATTGGCACCAACCATTGTACCATTGGTTCTATGTAAGATTGTGTCGAGTAAACAGTATCTGCACCTTGCGGTATAACTTTTGTTCAAGATTTTATGATGCTGTGTATGACATTGCTCCTCAAAAGTGAGGTTATCATTCGACCCATTACCTTAAGAACAATATTTTGTGTTTAATAAGGAAATCCTACTTTTGAAATTTGAGAAAGATCTGTCAAGGACTTCCTGGGAAATTAGTGATACTGGAACTGTCAAAATCCAAGATGGCTGCCCAATTGCCTTTTTGTGTTTCTGATCAGTTTCAAAATGAAACATGCATAACATAGGACTAATGAAAAATCAACCTACAAAATTAGATAAAGATCTGTCCAGCACTTCTTGATAGCTTTTCCGTCTTTGCGTATTGCAGAGTTATCGTCTCTTTGGAGCAGGTATTGATTGTTACGTCACTTGTTTGTGAGAGTAACGTCATCAATTTTTGAGAAAACAACGTAATTTTCTCGCACAAACCAATGACGTAACAATCAATATGCATATAAGTACAGATCATGGGGAACCCCTTAAGGACAGATGGATGGACGGAGGGACAGAGGGACAGACAGACGAAGGACCACCTATAAGGACTAGTTGAACAGTCAGTACCATCTTATGTTAGTGGGTTAAAAATCACTATAAGCTGGAAAGTTTATCTTACCAGTGCTTTGGCTCCTAAAATTTTGCTGTCTCTCCAGGGTCCTCTTGTGTTACTGCAGTCTAATGGATCGCACGCCGACACGGTGCAGTAGAACTGAAATGTACAACATTCACTTTAAGTATTACTTATATATACCTATATACCTATATACATATTAAAAAAGTCTAAGCACATTCTTTATTCTTTTGTCAATCAAGATCCTAAGATAGAGGGTACCTATAAGTCAGATCATTGTCACTACTGTGGAAAATATAAATCCTTTTCAAAGGACATTTTCAATAAAAATCATATGCTGCCATGCATATTATCATTGTTTGAAATTTGAATACAAAAAAAACCCTTCTCATGCTCAAGCAGGGATTCTGTGCTCAAACCAGCTTTCTTGTGTCTCACTACAATGATGTCAAATGATCAAAAAGTCAAATGTAAACATTAAAAACAGTATTCGGCTTTAAGTCTCTAAACATTTTTCACAAAAACATTGACAAAATAAGATTTTTTTTTTATTAATTTATAAGTGGAAATAGAAAGTTGGCTTGAGCACAAAATCGCTGCTTGAGCATGAAAACGATCTCATGAATACAGGCCACGGAATTATACAAGTACAGCAACAAAACTGACAGGGGAAGTAACTCTAGTCAAAAAAACTCAAAACGGAACTCTTCTTCACAATTATGACTTATGCAGTGGTACCCTTTCCTCAAAATAATAATGTTTCAGTATTCAAATGGACAAATTGGATTTCAACACTTACTGAATCTCCATAGGTAACTTGTTGAATAACATCCTCGGATAATATGCTAGTGAAGACATCGGTAGGGACGTTGGTGAAGTTCGTCCCATTCATAGCATCTGTGACCAAGAGGTCGTTGTCATGGTACCATTTAACACTGTACGACAGGCCGTCAATATCAAGGGGAGAGAACTCACACGTGAAAAACACCTTCTCATCTGGGCCAACTTTCACATGTAGTTTTGGACGCTCGGTAAACTCAAGGGTAACTGTAAAATGGTACATACCGAATTCAGATCGGAAGATAAAACATAATTAAAGGCAAATACTATCAAAATTATTCACAAAAAATAATTTCTCTCAAGGATAACTTTAAAATGATCTATTTTCTAATTGAGATCAGAAGTTAAGACATGATTTAATTGACTCATTCACCCCTAAAATTTCATAATGAACCTTTCCAACCTTTGAATTGGTATAGTTCAAATGTGTCTTCAGGGGTGAATGAGTTTAGGCAATAACACTGAGTATATAAACTTATATCTTTCCACTAACAAAAATGATAATATGAAAAAAACTCCAAATAAACAAGAAGCCCATGGTTGCGATAGGTTACTTTGTCTCTGCTGACCTTAAAACATTAAAGTAATTCTTACCAATTGTGGCACCAAGTCCGACAGCTACGTCCCTGGTTGCCTCAGTAAAACCCCAGCCCTCGATAACAATGTTGGCAAACAAATTCAACGAGACAGAATATCCAATGTATAGGTTTTGATTCCTAACTGCATCCCGCCTTTCGTAATACCGGGTAGTTTGAGACACCACAACACCATCAAAGAAAAGGCTTAGACCAGTCTGCAGACTCCATGAAAATTCTATCGTCAAAAATTGACCGGTGACTTTAAATGGTGCGTACACAGTGTAAATTCGTGTTCGGGTACTGCATGATAGATAAAGACGGTTCCTTGAGTACCACATTTCAATCCCGTAAAAACCTCCTTGCATGTCTCCATTGCTGATAATTCGCATTCCCTCCGTAAATTTGAAGACTTTTAAATTGAAACCAACTGTCAGACCAAAATAGCAAGTCTCCAAATCCCCAAAGCAGGAAGTCTGTGCCATGGTGTCCAAAGTAAGGAACTGATTGAGTCCGTTGAGTAGCAGTCCACGGCCTCCTGTAGGGCCGGATACAAAGGTCGGGCCACCCGACACCGTGAAATTAAAACTCAATGTCCGAAGAAGGTTTCCAATGATTGACAGAAAAGTTAATCTTCGTATATTAATAGTGGCGCCTGTGAAAGGAATAGAAACTACCTGTTATCATCAAAAATTATTGACATACTCAGGAAATTCTGCGAAATGCTTTTGCTTATTATCTCAATTTTCTTAATTGTTTTGTGTAGACTTTTTTTGTGTGGTTCGTTCGACCCAAAGATTTTAATTATAAAAGAGTGAAGATACTAGACTCCTCTTGTAGTTAGCAGAGAAACCACAATATCATTCAAAAAAATGTCAAATATTTGTTGCCTTAGTATTTCCACCCTGAAAAAAATAAGTTTGGCAGGTATAGGAACAAACCTTCACTTTCAAAATTGTTTCTTAAAAAGTTTCTCTACAGATACTCAAAAACATTAAAATAATAGATGACATATTTCAAATTCGTAACAAAAAATGTGACATGAATAATGGCTATATTTGGAATTTATTACGAAAAACAAAAAGGCCAAAAGGGCCTGGATCTCTGTCCTGGTTTTTTAAAAATCTAAACCTCAGTCCTCAGGAGATCTACACTATTCCTTAATGCAAAAATCTATATACAGCAAAATTGTGTCCCCTTGGCCCAGTGATAATTTAATTTTTGTTTACCTTGGTATGTGTCTTCATTTATTTCCCTGTGGGAAAGGGGTAGGGTGGGGTAGGGTCGGGTGGGTAGGGTTGGTGAGGGCGTACACCCTTCATTTAAATGACAAGCGAGTCCCTGAGGCCCATGCAGTGATGCTTACGACCAGATTTTATTAAAATCTGAAGAGCTGTTCATGAGGTTTAGTTTTAATGTAACAAAATCACAGATAAAAGGTATCGTGCCATGGCATAAACACACCTAGCTTTTTGGAACAAGTGAGCTAAAAAAATCAGTTTCCCAACTGCCATTAAGACATATTGTGACATATCCTGCTAAAATGAATATACATATTTGCAATGAGGAATTGATAGAAAATTTACGGGAGAGTGTTGACCATCCCACTGTGGTTGTGCTTGGCAGACAGACACGAGTTGCGTTCCCTGGATCAGTGAAGCCTTTTCCATAACAAACGCTGTCAATAATGCATACATCCGACTGTAAATAATAACACATATTGTTACATAAGTAATTATAAGACCGACCGACTATTATTATATATACAGGAAGACATACCCGTCACTATGGATACAAACAATTTTGTTTTGTTTTTGTATCTGTATTTTGTATAACCTTGTCAGTAACATATAAATCCGACTCTAAGTAATGATACAGTGAAACTTCCATAAATCCAACTTCGTAGATTCAAATTTCTCGAAGTGTTAAACTTATGGCACAGTCCGGAATTTTTTCCAAATATAACACTACTGATATTCCATTTATAAATCAAAGTTTTATGAGTCAAATTTCTTGCTGTTTCAAATTACAATCAAGGTCTGATTGTTATGAAAACTTTAAATTTACAACTTATAAATCGAAGAACAAAAATTACCTCTGCAAGAACATTGAAATGTCCTGTGGTTATTTTAACACCTAAACATGCAAACTACAATGTCTAAATATTTTTCCAAATTACTTTAAATCCAATATTTTTATGGATTTCAAATTGAATTACAGAAGTCCCAAAAACTACCCTGCCGTCACAAATGCTAATGGAAGTTGCAGTAATGTTACACCTTCATACTAAATTTGAGCAAAATTCATTTATATTTTAAATTCGACCAATCGGAGGTCATGGTGGCCATGCTGGATGACCGATAAAAAAAAGAAGAAGTCACATCTATGTTTCAAGTCCCATTTTATACCTACAAACTAAATTTGAGTGAAATTGGTCTATATTTAAATTTTGACCAATCAGAGGCCGAAGCAGCCATGTTGGATGACTGATCAGAAAGCGAAAATTTGTTTGCACAATGCTTTCCATTCAGGAACACTCACGTAAAGTTTCATCAAATTTCAAAGAGGAAAATTCAGGCAAAGACACTAAGTCCTCAAACTTTGTTTTGGGGACTTAATTACCTACATGAGAGGCTACCAAATGTACAATCAAAGATGCTGTAAAAGAAGCTTTTTGATTAAAAATATGATGTAGTTCTACCTCTTTTACTATCTGATGACTATACAGTAGTACAAGTGCTGTCATCTTCAAGTATCATAAGTACGACACATACAAAACGTTAAAAAAGAGTTACCTACCCTGGGTACACATTGTGTGAGAGTACAAGACTCACAGAGGCCGTTGAATACAACAAGTGTCAGGCCGGAGGTAGCGTGAGTTACACCATCATTACTAACACTGATTTTGTAGATACCGAGCACAGGGACCGGACATTGCACCACTTCCAAGTTACCATAGATACCAGTCAGCTTCAGCTCCGTTCCCTGAAAAAGCATTTAAATTTAGATCAGAACAATTTTACATTTTTGTATAAACTAACAAGAGAACCAAGAGGGATTTTGGGATCCATTATTTTAATATCTCCATTAGTTAGTTTGGCCCTTTTCTTTATTTCTCTTCTTTTCTCTTATCTGTTGGATTCATAGTCCTGCCAACAGTAAATGCATCTTGTGGAAACTTTTAGTTAAAATTTTATACAGTTGGGTTTGAGAGTTTTCTTTCAAACTGAGGCCACTCATGTTTATTTCTTGGGAAATAGCAATAACATACTAGCAGCCATCCGGTTTTTAAATCAGCCATAAAAAGATAATACACAACAATAGCCTATGGGGAACCTACATACGAAATTTGAGAAATTTCTGTTCAGTACATATTGAGAAATAGTGATAACAATTTCACGCTCTCAAAATTCAAGATGGCTGCCTACCGTTACACTTGTTTTTCCAATCATTTTCAAAATGAAACATGCACAATTATGGGTCGTGAGAAACTTAAATATGAAATCTGAGAAAGATTTGTCGAATCATTTTGAGAAAAAGCGATAACTTGCAGAAAGACAACCTGTAAAGGGATATCTAAAAACTAGGTAGATAAAGAAAACTTAAGGATCAATAAATAAATCGTAACAAATTCAAAAATTTGAAATAGGGCTGATTTTGGCCCTTTCTTGACCTACTCCTTTTAAAATTGAAGCTTATATGGGTCAATTTTTTAAGCTTTCTTTAATCACTATAGCCCCCCCCCCCCCCCCCCC